CTACAAGCGTGCGCTACCACGCCTCGCTAATTTTTTTTTATTTTATTGCAGAGATGAGGTCTTGCCAAGTTGCTCAGGTGGGTCTCGAACCATCAGACTCAGGCAATTCACTCACCTCAGCCTCCCATAGCTTTGGGATTACAGGCTGAGCCACCGAGCCCAGCAGTTGCACCCTTTTATATTACTACAAGACAGGTCAAAACATACTAGTACTTTGAAAATAGAATCTGTAGCACTCTCTGCTGTCCCAGAGAACCACTTGAGGACTCAGAACTGCTCTCTTCTTGGGGGTGGGGAGGGTTAGGCAGGTGAGCTAACCACCACAGGTGTCTCCTACCCAACTTCAGCAGCTTTTTCATTAGACGTTCCCTGTTTCTTGTAAGCTTTGATTAGATTCTCAGTTCTGAAGACATTGTTTGCCAGCTTATTCATTGCACTTTGGAGGGGTGGATTTCGAAGTTTCTTACTCTGTTGTTTTTGGTGACATCTTCCCCTGATGCTGTATTTCGAGATTCATCCATGTTGTGGTCCGTGTAGGTCCTTTATGAGTTTTTTTTGTTTTTGTTTTTGAGATGAAATCTTGCTCTGTTGCCCAGGCTAGAGAACAGTGACACTCACTATAGTCTCCAACTTCTGGGCCCTTGTCTGTAAGCCACAACCTCCCCCTTGACAGTCAGTGACTGTGAGTGACCCTGCATGGGACCTGTGCTTGTGCTGTGGTGTGTCTGTGTCTATGTCTATGTCTGTGTCTGCTGTGACTTCGGGGAGTGGCATTTGGCTCCAGGCCCTTTGTCAGCCACCTTCTTTGTGATGAGTTTCTGGCACACTTGTGCTCATGGAGGAGGAAATTTCATGACACACATATTAGCTGTCAGGTGCGTTTCCGAGTGCTCCTGCAGATGAGCTCATGTCGTCCTGGTCACCCCCATGTGTGGGTGCTGCTTTTACCCTTGTTGTAGAGATGAGTCCATTTAGGCAGGGAGAGATGGTCGCTTGTCCAGAGTTACAGGTTGGAAGTGGCAGCCCTGGCATTGGACTCTGGGCAGACTGACTGCAGACCTCTCCGGCCCACTAGTATGCCATCTCCAGTCCCATGCTTGATCATACTCCTTGTTCTCCTCTGGCAGGTCAGTACTGGTTTCTATGTTTGCAGCTGCGTCTTCAGCCGAGGACGTAGTGCTGAATGATCTCTTCACTTTCTCATGTTTTCCTGTATATGGTCTTGTTCTTGAAAGGATGCTTTGTGCTTTTATTTAAATAACATCTCCATTGTCTCCTTTTTGTCAGCACTGTACTTTCCTAAGAACCCTTGCAAGTGATGGTAAGCTGTCAGTAATGCTTTGTCCTCCGTGGTACCTTGGCAGGTAGCGCTGCTTGTGTAAAGCTGGTTTGGACTGTGATAGTGTCTTTTTGGGAAGGAAGATAGATTAGTGCTTTAACTTAGCTATAAATTCCTGTTGGAATTTTTGAGGCAACTTTAGTAGGGAAAAAGGTGCTCTCCAGGGGATTCCTGCTTCCCTTTTAAGTTGGATGTTGTGTGATATAAACACGTATTATTTACCTTGGAGAATAATTATCTTATTTCCTCGATTTAAAACATTGATGTAAGCAAATTAAAACAAAATATGACAAAGGAACAGTTTTTAACCATTAGTATAGTAGAGAATATATTAAAAAGTGCTTAAGATGTTATGTATTTCTCCACACAAGTGTGCGTGATTACACAGAAAAGCAGGCATGTGTGGCTTCCTTCCAAAAGACCATTTGAAGACAAGGAGCTGAAAGCAGTGTGGAGAACGGGCCCTCTTAATTAAAAAAATATGATAAAAAGATTCTTGATTTTTAAGAAGGTAAATGGCTTGTCTTTGTCTGTGACTTTAATTACCCTATGTGGTTCCTAAGAGACAGGCATTATTAGTTTTAATCATGCCCCGGATATAGTGGAGAATTGAAGGTGTCCTGACTTGGTGGTGGCACACAGGCTTAGCTGGACCTCCTTGCCTTGCCCCCTATGACTTACAGCCCTGGAGGGTGAGTGGCGGGTGCCTGTGTCTGTGATTCCTGCCCTTCCAATCACAGATGAGCTGTTTGATATCAGAGGTTAACTCTTTTTTTTTTTTTTGGAGTAGCAATTTCACTCTATCATCCAGGATGGAGTGCAGTGAGATTCTCACGGCTGCTGCAGCCTCAACCTGCTGGGCTCTGGTGATCCTTCCGCCTCAGCTTTCCAAGTAGCCCGAACCACAGGCAGGCACCACCATGCCTGGCTAATTTTTTTTTTTTTGAGTTGGAGTCTCACTCTTGTCGCCCAGACTGGAGTGCAGTGACCACTCCCGG